GGCAAGGAGAAGGAAGGAAGGAAGAAGGGAGAGAAGGAAGGGACGGCGGCAGGGAATAGGCGGAGTGGCCAGGGAGGAGGCGGGCGCCAGCGGGCCGTGGGTCAGAGGAAGGGGGAGCCGAACCAGACGCGGCCGCCGCGGGCGCAAACGCTAAGAAGCCGCTCCGGCGCCCGCAGCCCCGCAGGAAGTGACGGGGGAGGGGCCTATGCCCGCCCGCAGCTCCTGCCCGCAGTCCGGACCACAAGTTCCAGCGGGCGCGGCGGCAGCTCCTGCGCTCGCAAGGCACGCCGGGAGCCTAGCGGGCTGGGGCCTGGTCCCGCTTGAGCCTCATAGTCCTGCCTTGGGCGCTGGGATCTGCTGGGAGTTGTAGTTCCGATGGGAGATGGGTCTGGGCGGCTCTCGAGAAGTGGGGCTGGGCCTTTTTTTTTCCCTCACCCACGTTCCTTCTTCCGGTTTTCTTCTCCGCCTTACCCGCGGCCCCCATCCCGTTCCTCCTTTTTCTCCTTCCTTCAATTCCTCCTTAAGTGTTTATTAATCGCCTGCTGTGTGCAAAGAGCAGTGTGGTGGTAAAGAGAAAGACAAAAATTCCTGCCCTCAGGGAGCTTACGTTCTAAGTGGGGGTAAAACACAAAAATAAAATCAGTATCTTTTATAGTAAAAGGGAAGAAGTACCAGATTACTATTTCTCTCACCCAGTTCTAAATAAACTAAGTGTATTTTAGCAGCCATTTTATATGACAGGTTAGGGTTTGAGGGAGGGAAATCTTGGACCTCTAGAATCACACAGCAAAGAATAACGCAGCATTGTGAGAGATTCAGGAAACTGAGTGAAGGAACCGCAAATGCCCAGGCCTCCTCTCACCTGCTTCCCCACTATTTACAAAGTTTATTTTCGCCCGGCCAGTGTGGCTCAGCATAGACTGGGAACTAGGAGGTCAAAGTTCAATTTCAGGTCAGGGCACATGCCCGGGTTGCAGGCTAGATCCCCAGTAGGGGGCGTGCAGGAGGCAGCCCACAAGGACTCCCTCTCAGCAATGATGTTTCTCTCTCCCCCTCTCCCTTCCTCTCTCTGAAATCAATAAAAAACATATTAAAAAAAATAAAAATATTAAGTTTATTTTCTGCCTCTCTCTTAACCCAGCTATTGCTCAATCTTTCTTTATAAATTCATAATATGCGGTGCTGTGACTGAAGGGGCCTGTCCAAACAATGCTTTGGGACCTTGCCCTAGCCACAGAGGACTCCTTCCCATGGACCGGAACTCTTGTAAATTTCAAAGAAACTGAATCTCAAGACACCAGTAACAGTCAAAGGACTTTAACTGTCCTTGAGTGCCCATCCACGACAGCACTAAACAACATTCAGATATCGTCCAGCCATCTGCTTGAAGGCGAATTATTTTTCTTTCTTTCAAGCCGTCTAATTCCATAGCTCACCTAAGTAAAGGAGCAGACATGAAGGTGTTTCCCTAAACCCAAGGCTGGGGTCCCTGCACAATCACACAGTCTCTTCAAAGGTGTAAAGTTAGAGGTGGTGTTCTGACCCATTTTTACCCATGAGGACTCAGGCGATGGACCTTTGACTTACAATCTTAACTGGAAACTTAACTTCCCTTATTCCATACATTGAAAGGGAGATCACTCAATTTTTTTTTTCTTCAAATCCAGACTTTGGCTTTTATTCTATGACTTGGACCTCAGTACAGTTGTACCTCTGTTTCTTCCTTAAACGATTAGAACAACCATTTCTATCTTACCCAGATATCAAGAATTACTTGAGCTTGATACTCTTCTGTCTCTTCTTCTCCGTCTGCAGAATGATAGGTCTCTCCTTAGTGTTGTGATATGTGATGCTCTGAGCAACCCAGGCTACTATCTGCTCCTGTTAGTGACTGATGACCTGTCATTCCAGAGGTCAGGCATCCTTATAGCACTCTGTTCCCCTCCCTCCCCCCAAACACTGACTGTCTCCATAGTTTTGCCTTTCCCAAAATGTCATATACATAGTTGGAATGGGCCAGTATACTCTTTTCAGGTTGGCTTCTTTCACTTTACGCATTTAAGCTTCCTCCATGTCTTTTCGTGGCTGATAGCTCATTTCTTTTCCTACTTTTAATAGATACAATAAATAATAATAAGTATAATTTTTAGATAAAAATCAACTTCTCACAGGTCTTTTAATGAGCTTTGCATGTTCCCATTCCTTGTTACAAATACATATAATTTATATTCTGGGGAGGAACACGCAGAATTTAGCATAACTTACTTAATAGTCATAGTTTCTTCCCTCTTCTTCCTAAAGAAAAATAAATACTTCTTTTATTACTTGGCAAGAATCAAGAAGTCTTCACGCCCTTGGAAGAGAATATGACTGACAGTCTCTAGATACACATAGAGAAAAACAAATCTAAGTGACCCACTCCTGAACCCCAGCCAGCCCCATGGCTAACCTATACCTCTAACTACTTACTATTCCTTGGTTATACAAAATGAAAGTTCAGAGTCGTTTTCAAGAACAAACACTGTTAAATCTTCATAGTGTTGTTTTTCTTTTCTCTCTTTTTCTTTCTTCTGTGTTTCTAGTTTTAATTAGTTGCTATCACTCTAACACTTACATAATAATCTGGGTTTGTAGCATCTCTTTAAAAATGAGGCAGATTTGGCCCAGCCAGTGTAGCTCAGCGGTTGAGCATCGATCTATGATCCAGGAGATCGCTGTTTGATTCCCGGTCAGGACACATGCCTGGGTTGTGGAGTTGATCCCCAGTTGGGGGAGTGCAGCAGGCAGCCGATCACTGATGACTCTCTCATCATTGATGTTTCTCTCTCTCTTCCTCTCCCTTCCTCTTGGAAATCAATAAAGATATTTTAAAAATGAAATAAAATTAAATTAAAATGAGGCAAATTTAGCTGCACAGAGCCTGTGAGTCACAGCTGCTCCCTGAAGATAGACATATTCTTTTCATTTTACCATAGACCCCAACCTCCCACATATCTCGTTTATGTTACTTTCCTGTTTGTGTTGACATTTAAGCGTGCAATGCCTGGCCTACTGTGTAACTGCATGGAGCGAAGGCTGGTCTATGGAGCTGAAAACTCATCAGAAAGACGAAGATGTAAATGTAATAGAGGAAGAATGTAAATGTGATAGAGGAAGAAAAGGTACATGGTATTATGGGATCCTTTATTAGCATCCTGAAGCATTGTAGCTGTAGCAAAGATTTAAAGGAAATGAAGGTGGTAACCAGGCAAAAGTCATGTGGGAAGTGTTATAAGTAGTCCAAGTAGGGTGGAAAGCATGTACAAAAACCTGTGGCAGGACAGCATGTGGCCCAGGCTCTGGTTACTATTGCTAAAAAGCAAGTCACTCCCAAATTTAGTGGCTTAAAAGAACGGCAATAATTTAATTATCTGTCACAGATGTGGGTCAGGAATTCAGAAAGAGTTTGGCTAGGTTCTTCCAACTTAGCGTCTCTGATAGGGAGCTGGACCACTGGGGGATAGAGCGCCTGGGCACTGACTGGGTGCCTTTGGCCTATCCATGTGGTCTCTGCATGGGCTACT